TGTCCGGGACCTGGGCGCACCAGGGTCCTGACATGGCGTTCCAGAGACGTGTTTATGCAGGCGCTTATATAAATGGCCTGCAGTGATTTTTACATGTTTTTTTCTCGTGCCTCTGCAGCGTACGTCCTGTCCGCAGCATCACGCTGCTCCTGTCTCTGCGTCTTATGCACGTACGCCGTAGGTCAGCATGACTCGCTCCGTACTGCGGCTCACGCTGGATCTTAGTCGCTCGTACGCCTCAGAGTGACTTGCTGAGATGTAGATGCCCAGAACCTCGTGAAATCAGGATCTGATCGCTGTCGCCTATGGGCCTCTTTCTTGCCCTGCAGAATTTTTCTCGTGCAGATTTTACGTCACATTGTGCCCTCGCCATTATGGCACCCAGCAGCAGTGTTTCAGACCATACATGTGTGTGGGGCCCCTGAGGTTTGGGGGCCCCCTCTTGGCCACATACAGTCACTACATTACAGGGACCTCGGAGTGACTTTTTGAATGGGGCCCCAAGAACAAAAAAGCCCTTCACAGCACCCCCTACTGCCAGGTATTGGGTCAACTCTCAGCTCCATGCCGGTTTGTCAAGTCCAGCCAGACAGCAGCGGAGTCGGCTGCCCTAAAGCCATCAGGTTCTGGTGGGTCCCTCGAATGGTTCTGTACCGTGGCTGTATGGGCAAGTCGCCATGCTGACTGCGTGCGGCTCCGGAGCTCTCCAGCAGGCCGGACCTGCCCGGCCATGTCTGCTGCGTCATGGAGATAATGGGCGTTGTCGTGCCAACAAGACGAGGAGGGAGGGGTCTGGGGGTCTGGCTAAGGGAGAAGCTGCTGTGTGTCTGTGGAGAACATTCCAGGCATTTTTTTTTAACTACTATAGGGTTGAGTGATATCGCAGTTATGTGGCGCACCAGGGCTTTAGATAACAGGCAAAATATTTGTCCAGACACCTAAAACCTCTTTTAAAAGAGGAGGATCTCGTGGATAAACGAGGAAAACAGACATCGGCGGCGTGGTGGTACTTTTTGCAGTTTAAAGTCTGACACGTTAATTAAACCTAAGGATACGCCAAATTTATACAGATTACTAACTTTTGGACGCTGCCGTACGCTTCTCATTAATATTTTAGGCGCACTACTAATCTGCTTACCAAATTGTGGGCGTAAGTAAGTCTGTATAGCACCGAAACTCTGGCGTCTGGTCAAATGTTTATGCCTGTCATCTAAAGCCTTTTTAAATTATTGTGCATGCTCCATATAATAATGATGTGATATCATGCAGCACTACTATTTGCACATCCCCCATCCCCATATTCATACATTTCCTCACTCCCCTTTCTGATTCAGGTCACATCAATGCACTCACATCCAAGCTCTTCTTGATGGAGGAGTTCACCAGTGAAAGGATAAAGGCCGCCGGCTGTGAATTCCGGTAAGTTCCCCTTGACTAGCGTCACCCTGCCGACTCTTTGAATTGGTCATGCTGGCAGTCTGCCCCCTCTCACCATAAACTGTCACCTCTGGATGCTCAAGTGTCCCTCGGGGCTGAAACAGTCACACTGCTCGACAGATGACATTGTGCATGTTGTAGAAATGCACACAGGAGTGTGTCTCATCTTAACTCGAGCTGGTTATGAGCTCTGTGACCTTTGTGTGTCTTCCTTGCACCGTGAACTCTGCAGGCCGGCCACCTGCCTGAACGTGCTGCACCATTTGCTGGAGAAGCTCGTCAGGTGAGGAACACTCATGAAGTACCGCTTTCCCCGGGGAACGTTTGCAGTCAGTACACGCAGATCCACTGTCTGGGTTAATGACGGTATAACTCAGGGCTTTAGCAAAGCTGTCAGCCGAAACGAGAACATCACTGAAACGCCCCATTGTCTGAGCTTTGCTTAGGGGCGATCCGGGGCGGGGCGATCCGGGGCGGGGCTCCGCACGCCTTTCCCAAACCACACTCAGCTTTGTTTCAGGAGCCTCAGTCAAAGTCACTAACATTGTTTTTTTTTTTTCCCTCTCTGTTCGTGGTACCTTTGTTATATGATCGTTCATGGTCGCATCCCAGTCTCTGTCCTGTACAAAGACAAAGAGTGAATCTGGAATCTTGAGTGCAGTGACAAATCACAGCAAGCTATCTGGTTATTGGAAAACTGTTAGTTAAGGACACGTGTAGCGGACTTAAGCGGAATTGTGGTTTGAGTCAGTGAAGACATGCCTGAGCTTGTGGTTCCCTGTGTAGTCTCTCGGAGGGGAGGTACCTCGTGAGCCACAAGGCCGGCGAGCCCATAATCACCATCGGCAAGGCCAGTGACGGAAGGAAGAGCCTGCGAGCCGTGTACGACCTGCACCAGGCCCACGGCGGTCTCCCGCAGGCCCCGCCCCACGCCGCTGTACCCTGGGTGGCTGTGGACCCCTCCCACCTGCTGTCCTTCCACGTGAAGCACGGACGGGTGCCGTGCACCTTCCCACCACGAGGGAGCAAGGTAGGGTCTGCCACAGAGGGGGTGTGGCTATCTGCTCTGGGGGCAAATTCATCTGATCTAGGGGTGTGGCTTTGTGTAGTGAAATAATTATATCTGCGCAGATCTGGCAGTCTGAAGATCTTCCAGGTTTAATATGTATTAAATCAATACATTTATTCTGATAGTTAAAAAACATGGTTGGGCAGACTGTGTACTGTACATACCCCCCGATTAACTGGCACCCCTAGGGTGTCTCATGCCTCCTGCCCCTATGCTTGCTGGGTCGGACTCCAGGCCTGCCATAAACCCTCACTGGATAAGCAGCTGGAAGTTTCTGGATGTCTGTGGACACAGTCGTGTCCTGTGTGCACTGGCCTGCATGCTAAAAATGGCGTCTTCCAGATCTGTTGTGAGAGGTAGTCGGGCAGTTTGCTGTGGCTGATTTAAGCATTACCCAGAAGCCCTGAGTGGGGGGATGGGGGGCTCAGGAAGCAGCCAGACCCCGGCAACTCCAGGATGATGAAAGGAGGAGAGTTATGAGCTGTGAGTCACTGTGGAAACGTTGAGTAGATGCCAAAATGCTGCTAAGAGGCATTTTTTTGGCCAGCCGTCCACTTCCCACCACGAGCTGTCAGCCAATCGAAAACAGCCACTTCCCTTTGCTGTGGCCACCACCTTTGAACCCGAGGCCACAGAAGTGATGTGACCGACGGCACATCTGAGGCATCCATGGGGCACAAATGCCGTTTCATCCACTATCTCGTGTGTGTGTGTGTGTGTGTGTGTGTGTGTTGGTTGTGTACGAGCAGGTCGTGTCTTTAATGTTTATGTGTTGTGACTGTGCTGGCATACAGTGCCAATGTCCTCTTATGCTCATAAGATGATGCAACCTGTCCTGATTCCGATCAGTGGGCAGACCCATATCTGCATGGGAGGGTCTGCATCAGTCTACAGTCAGCCCCCCTGAGGTCGTGTTAATACCTCTCTTCTGTAACCCTCACAGCCTGCCAACAGCCATGGCACCCAGCCCGCCGCAGGGAGTGCCACGTCCACAGGGGGGGCGCGCAAGCCGGGGGCACCACCTACTGGTGGCACCATGAAGAAGAAAAAAAAGAGCAAAAGCGCCAAGCGTTCCCAGAAGTGGCGGGAGAAGAGGAAGTTGCAGCAAGAGGGGGGTGCGAGGGGCCAGCACGCCCCCCCAGCGAAAGGCCAGCACGCCCCCCCAGCGAAAGGCCAGCGCGCCCCCCCAGCGAAAGGCCAAGGCCCTGCGCCAAAGAAACAGCAGCCCAGGACGTGACAGGCGGGGCAGTGGCCACATTCAGCGGTGCCCCCCACCCGGGTTTGGGTCCAGGCTGCCTTGTAAATAAGAGTTCAATCAGTCTTGTGTTGCATTTAGGCTTTTATTTAAGGTTTGTAACATTTTCACTGTGAGTTTTGATATTAAAATGAATAGATGCTGAACTTTTAGGTTTTTTCTGTTTTTTTTCTTTTCTTTGTACGTCATGTTTGGTGAGTGTTAAAAAGAACAGATGGATTATTAATGGCTTAGGGGGGTGTCAAATATGCAGCTGGATGACTAGGTCTCGGAATTCTCTGTAGCATGTGAGTGTATGTGCATGTATGCGTGCGTGCGTGTGTGTGTCTGTGTGTGTCTGTGCATGTACCCTACGATGGACCGGTATCTGGTCCAGGGTGTCCCGGCATGGTATATAGGCTCCAGGCCTCCAGAAGAGCTAAGGCAGTTGTTGGTAACCTCTTAGATGTTTGGGAATCCCATGGTGCCCTGGTTGCAGTGATAGCCTGACCCTCCGCCCCAGTGTCTGGGTGTTTATCTGCAGAGATTCCTCATAATTTCCACAGGAGGCACTTTGGCTGGGATGGAGGTGCCTGGTCCTGAATCCTCAGGTTTGTGAATCAGAAGCGGTCAGTTCCAAAGGCACTGTGCTAACGAGCAGCTTTGTACAGAATAGACCCAGAACAGACCCTCACTCTGTATCTCGTGTCAGTGCGGGGGCTCTGACCTCCAGGCCAGGTAACATGAACATGTATGGTACTCCCTTGGATACTCCATTGTATGAACTTGTGTCATACTGATCAGCGAGTAACGTCTGTAGGTCATGTAGTAATAATGCTCCTTTTCCACAAACAATGCAAGCATTTGGTAGATCTATAAACAGACTTCTGCTTTTCTTTCTTCTGCTTCCAATCAGCTTAAGACTGAAGCATTAGAAGGGAATTGCTTCCCAGTAGAATTATATCCGTGGAGAAAACTGCGTCTAGCTTTTGTAATATAACACATAATTTCCTCGTAATGCAGCTCAGGCACCAGGCTGCTATACTGAGCAGGTCTCTGCTAGGAAAAATGCTGCAATGTCACGCTCCTGCTGGAGATGGGAGGAGCAGCTCCAGGATGGGGAGGGTGGGGGAGTCGACTTCCCTCGCTCTGTTCCGCAGCTCAGTTCCTGTGGTGTTTAACTACCACACCCAGCGGTGAGCACACAGCTTGGGCTATCTGTTCTGTGCAACTTTTGAGCTCTGTCCACTAAGGTAAGGCCCTGACCTGCTCTCTCACTACTTTCTGAACGCTGCTTCTGCCTTCTGCCTCTGGGAACGTCCTGGGACCAGCTGTTGTCACAAGATGTGGGTTGTTTCTTGTTGGGAAGTTGGCTTTCGTACTGACTGCCCTGATCCAAGTAAGCCAACCTGGTAAGCTACCAAACATCTAGTCTAGCAATAATGGTCTTCCCCGAGTGTCCGTCCATCTGTCTGTCTGACGGCTTGTCTGCTGTCTTCGTTTTATTTTTTACGTGGTACTGAACTATGTGGTAAAGTTATGTGCAGTTGTTTTCTATTTGTGACTGATCTAAAGCAGTTTTATCTCAAGAAATCTCCATCATGTGCTGTCATCTGATCTTTAAAGGAAAAACCTTCTCACAGAACTTAGTCTGCTGAGTGATCTACTGATGGTGTTACAGGGCGTGTCTGAGCAAGACTCGGGTAGGACAGTCAGTCTTACACTGCAGAATAAGTACATACACACTATAATTATCCTGCTTTGTAAATATTCGTTGTGGGTTGTTTATTATATTATTATAACCGTATTAACTTCAAATGCCTTGAGTGCCTGGCTAGACTTTAAAAAACTGTTGGTTTATATCGGTATATCAGGATATGATGTAATGAAAATTTTCTGCAAAAAGGATTCTTTATTTAACGGTGCACAGGATCCTGATTCATCTGGTGCCTTAGAACAGCTATTTGTTCTGTTCTCAGAATACTTCTGTGGTTGGCTTGTTGCTAGGTAATCATAAAAACACAATTACACAACATAAGAACATGCAGATGAAGCAAACGACAGAAATGCCTTGCCTGATTGGTTCTCATGTAACGATCACTCATTTACCTGTTGTGTAGTAGTGTGGAGTGGTGTTTAAGTGTAATTGCAATATGTTTCTATAAAAAACAGCCAGATAAAATGAGGCCTTGTAACATTTAACCTTCCAGGATTCTTTCCAGTAACAGAAGTGGTCTTCCTTTACACAGAAATCCTTGCGTGTTTTTTTTGTAAACGGGTCTGGAATTCTTTCCATGCCGCTGATTGGAGGTATTTGCCCCGATTGTCTGCAGGAAAGTGAAAATGGCTTTGGTGTCTGAGTTCCTGGGTCAACTCACTCTGAATCTGGGCCCAGTGAGTACCAGCCTCTCTCCATCTGCCTGCCATTACACTAACAGCAGCTCCATGCCGCAATTGCCAGCACAGCTGTCCTTTGTCTAGACTAGTCACCCGTCTCTGCCAAGCCATCCCATAATGCCTTTACTTAACGGCTTCACTCTCAGTTTAAATGAGCAAGCGATCCTTGCACAGTAAGATTTTGACATTGTTCGAATTTCTAGGCAAGTGAGCCCAAATACCCCAGCGTGGTTCCTGTGGTCGACTTCGACTCCGACAAGGATGCTGCCAGGATCGAGACGGCCATCAAAACTAAAGGTAGGAGGTCCCCACCCTGCACTGAAGTACACCCCCCCCCCCACCTCCCTGATCTGTGCCGTTACCCACAGATAAACTGTAAACTAAATATTTATCCAGGCAAGGAGCTAAAGCCTTTCTCAACACCACGCCTTTCCACTCCAAAAGAAACTGATGCGATAGATGGAGGTCTTTGTTCTGAAAAGAGCAGAGAAAATAAAGCTGGCATTTGGTATTTCTGACTCACCTTCCTGTCTGCATGCATTCAGAGCAGAGGGGGGGGGCATTCCACGGACCGCACCCTCGTGTCGGTCACGGCCTCACACCCCCCCCCCCCCCCCAGCCGGGGGCCCTGGCAGAGAGAGGCACTCCCCTGTGATGAAATGCCTCATGTCATTTCTCATTTCATCATTCTGTTTTTTTTTTTTTTTTTTTTTAAATGGGTAAGATCCTCTGGATTTGAATGGAAGCAGTAACAGGGAAGAGCAGCTGTGTGCTCTTTCGTTAGAGTTTTGATAGTGAAGCCCAGTCACAAAAAGGCTGATATATATTCAACTTATTTATATATAGCGCCTTTCACATATCCAGCCATGGAAAAAATTAAGAGACCACAGCACAATTTTTTGTTTCACACATTTCTCAATTTCTAGGTGTGAGTCTGTGAATATATTTTTTTTTTGAAAACTACAGCCTGCCTCTTCCCTGTTTCTCATTGATGAAGGGCTGCTTCTCTGCTTTATGGAACTTCAGTCCTGCTTCTTGAAGCCTGATACAAACTATCCTAGCAGTGCACTTCACACCTGCACTTAATGTTTCCCATTCCTTTTGAAGGTCACTTGATGTCATCCTACAATTCATGGAAAACTGTTAATGGTCGTCTCTGGCATTAGAAAGTCACTTCTGCCCTTTTCTTGGCTGGTTTATGGTCGTTCCCAATGTCTCCTCCTGCTGCCTTAGAAACTTTGAACCTAGAAGCAACCTGCTGCTCAGTGTAGCCTTCTGTGATTAAACCAGGATTTAAAAATGCAGAGTTGTTTAAAAATATAGTGTGATCTCTTAATTTTTTCCACAGCTGTAGTACATGGATGTGTTGTAATACAATTCTATATGATTTATACAGAATAATTAAAAAACATGGAAAAGGGTAGGCAAAGAAATGAAAGAAAAAATGCAGCCAGATGACGGAGGAGAGGATATATATGCAAAACGAATGCAAAAATGCCTGGTCATTTATCTCAGGAGTGGATGAGCAGACTATCATTGACATCCTGACCAAACGGAGCTACGCTCAGCGCAGGGAAATCGCCTTCGCATATGAGAGGAGAGCCAAGAAGGTAAGGGAGGACGGTCATTCGCTGCACCTCCATTCCGCTCTCAAAACGGCCACTGTCACCTTGGCATATCTAATTCCTCTATGCTGGTATCATGCAAACACAAGGTTGTGTTTCCAGGATATGATCAGCGCTCTCAAGGGGGCGCTGTCCGGCTCCCTCGAGTCTGTCATCCTGGGGCTGATGAAAAGTACGTCTCAGTTCGACGCCACTGAGATCAGGGCCTCCATCAAGGTGAGCCTGAAGCGTGTCACATGTCAGCGCCCCGTCCTGCTGGTCAGACAAATACAGATCGATTCAGAGTCTGAGTGCTCTGACTTGCCATCAGGACACATCTTGATCAAGGCAATTTTTTCCGCGGACATAGTATTTTAAATTGTAGCCCATGTAATTTTTTTCTCTCCCCCACAATCAAAACATTTTGCCATGGACACAGACAAGTCCTGCCACAGATGCATTTGGCACAAACAGGATTACAGGCAGTAAAATATGATATGAATGCATTAAAAAAAAAAAAGTAGGTCAAAACTATTATCAGCAGATGGTGCTGCGTATCTAACCCCTGGTGGAAAGAAGTGAGCAAGAGTCACTTGGGCCTGAAATCGAGGGAGGGAGGGAAGAGCAGATAGAGGGAGTTATTTAGCAATTTAGCCATTTGCGGTGGATCCTTCTGCAGTGTGCTGGGGGGGAGCCGGCTTTGGAGGATTCTGATTGGTGGGGCGCTGTGTCCGTGATCAGAAGGGCGCTGGTTCATATCCCAGTGTCAGGAGCAATTTCACCGTCGGGACCTTGAGCAAAACCTTAAAGCCCCAATTGCTTCAGTGACTGTCTGACCCTGTTGTGGCTTTGGATTAAAGCGTCTGCTAAAATAAATTAAACGATTAATACACTCAACAGGAAGGCTGGTAGCCAGCATGTCAGGGTAGATTGTTAACCAGCAGCCTCACCAACCTGAAACAGAACAGTGTGGTTTCAAACACAGGCTGCAAAGGAGGTTTTTTGTACCTATTTTTTGTGAGGCCCTATTATTAATTTACAGCTGAATTTATAAAGCGACGAGTGATGGAGAAAGATGGGAAGCTTGGGCTGTTTCTGAGATGAAAAAGGGACCTGGTGATGCCTCTCAGCCTAACATTACAAAGCGAGATTTGAGTTTTTGTTTTATAAATTATGAATTAAATACTCCTTTCGGCACATGAATGAGAAACGAGGGAAGCTCATGCAGTACTTTGCTGCCCTCTGCTGGTGAAACCAATGTAAGGCAGGACAGAACTTGCAGCAGCTACTCATTTATCTGCCTTGAGCTCAAGTAAAAACTTAAACACAGGACAGGATACTATTGGTCCCGAAATTGTCTATGAAACCAAGAAGATTTCATAGCTAGTACTTTATTTATCCCTTCTGTAGCTTGGCCTCTCTTTCAGGTCACCTACTCTGTGTAGAGGCACCAACTGAGGTGCATAAACTTACAAACCTTTGATGCATCAGCATGAACTCTGCAGCTGCACGTGATGTGAAACTGGGTCCCACAACCTCTGATGCATCCCCATGTTTCTCTCCAGGGTTTGGGGACAGATGAGGAGACCCTGATCGAGATGGTCTGCTCTCGCAGCAACGAAGAGTTAGTGGATATCAGGAGGGTCTACAAGGATTGTGAGTGGCAGGTGCCGCCGTCGCATTTGTGTGTCGCATGTCGCCGTGTCTGACGCTCAGCTGCTTCCACAGTGTTTAAGAAAGAGCTGGAGAAGGACGTTGCCGGAGATACCTCAGGGCAGTTTGCGAAGCTGCTTCTGGCCCTGGTCCAGGTACATTCATAGAGGGGGGGGGACTCTTCCTATGGCTCTTGGCTGAACTCCATACTGACCATTCTGTCCCCTGACAGACGAAAAGGGATGATCCCAGCAGTGTCGTGGACTACGAGAAGATCGACATGGATGCCAGGGTAATTACCCGAGTGTGACCGCTCCCGGGCTATGTCTGGCGAGTACGTCACACAGGTGCAATCCCAGCAATGGGTGCTAGGGGGCAGGGTGCTGCTCCACATTTACTAACTGCTGCTGCCTTGCTGTTGTGCCTTTTCACTGGACAGGCCTTGTATGAAGCTGGAGTCAAGAGGAAAGGGACAGATGTGGCCACATGGATCAGTATCATGACCGAAAGGAGTGTCCCTCACTTGCAGAAGGGTATCATGAACCTTCGGGCACCTAGAGCTCACCATCTCCTAGTAGACGTTACTGAAAACAGACCACGACACACCATACAACTACAACCTACAGCCATGTCCATACCTGCACACCCCTCTTAATATTCAGTACTAACATTAATTAATATTGTCTAATTTACACTGCCTTGTTTACACTATGTCCAGTTTGTCTGTTTCCTTGTCTGTCTGATTGCTTCTCTGCTTGTCTGTCTCTCAACCTGCCTCTCTCATTCCCTGTCTGTCTCTCTCTGCCTCTGTCCATCTGTCTCTCTCTTGTCTCTACTTGCCTGTCTGTCTTAGTCTGTCTGCCTCCATGTCTTAGTCAGTCTGTCTCTCTCTCTCTTTGTCTCTGTCTATCTTTCTGCCTATCTGTCCATCTGTCTGTTTCTCTGTATGGCTGTTTCTCTGTCTGTGTCTCAGCACAAATGCCTGGCTGTTTATATCATTTTCCGTTTCTTAGTCTGTCTGTCTATCATCCCAACATTGGTGTCTTTTTTCAGTGTTTGAAAGGTACAAGAGCTACAGCCCCTACGACATGAAGGAGAGCATCTGCAAGGAGGTGAAGGGTGATCTGGAGAAATCCTTCCTCACTCTGGGTACGACATCATCATTCTCCCCCCGGTTTTATCCCATGCGTCCCCCTGGTGTTACCTGCAGCTGCACTACCCCAGTGACGTCCGGTTTGGGCCACACACTCCATCTTTCAGGCGCGTGGTGTGGCATCCTGCTGTTCGGGGGGACTAGCTGTTTGCCGCCCCCCCCAGGCATTCTGCCTTCTTCACAGCCCATTTGTACTCTGCTAGCAGTAGATTCATTTCTTATTAAACATAATTGCAAGCTGTTTGGAGAAAAACAACATTTGATTTCAAGGGATGCCCCGCGGAAATGGTGGCCTGGTGCCGAGGCACCCGAGGCAGCCTTCAAACTAGGAACCCTTCACAGGGAACATGGGGAACCGCCAAGGAAAATCCGAAGCAGCCCTCTAACTAGGAACCCTTCACAGGGAACATGGGGAACCGCCAATGAAAATGCAAGGCTGAGAACGCCAGTTATTCAAACGTGCACTCTCTCTCTCCCTCTCTCTCTTTCGCAGTTGAGTGCCTTGAAAACAAACAGCTGTACTTCGCAAACCGGCTGAATGATGCCATGAAGGTAAATTTAAATCGCCACCTGAAACAGCTTCATTATCATCTTTCAACTCACAATGACGACACTGTAAAAGATGCACTGGCAGACTGTTTCAAAGCCATGCTTATTTTCTCATGAAAAGGTATTTAAGAGGCAGATCAAAGCATGTCTGTCTGTCTCTCTCTCTGTCTGATGGATCACTGGACCTGACTGGCAATAGAGCTCATGAAGCAGGTCTTCAGGAGACCTTCTGGTTAGTGCATGTGCCTCTAATTGTTTGACTATAAATAACATGGAGGTTGCATTCTTCCTGCCAATCAGGCCAAAGGGGCAAAGGAGAAGGTGCTGACGAGGATTATGGTGTCCCGTTGTGAGGTCGACCTCGTTAAGATCCGCTCGGAGTTTAAGAAGCTGTCTGGGAAGTCACTGCACCAGACGATCACTGTGAGTTCCCAGCAGCTTTGGCTCCCGTCCTGCCCTAGGTGGAGCCTGAACCCAGGGGGTGATACACCTAAATCTCTGCCATTGCCCCCTGTAGGAGCACACCAAGGGAGACTACCAGAAGGTCCTGCTAGGCCTGTGTGGGGGAGATGACTAAGTCAGACTGCGTTCCTCCAGGGGGAGACTACTGCAGGGCACATCAATATGAGACACCCTGCTGTCCCAAGAAGAATCATCAGTCTCCATATCCCACTCAGAGCAGTGTTACAGAGAGACATGGAATTATCCCTCACATTTTAAGTACTGATGACTTTTGTAATCTTGTTCTGTCGTTAAATACATGTCATTCGAAATACTTCCCTTGCCTGGTTTTTGTTATTCTTGACGCCTGTGAAACTTTCGTTATACGTGTTCGTATTGTGTGCCACTAGAGGGCGCTGGAGGGCTAGAATTCATCGGTGTGTCTGGATGCGGCCTAAAACCACAGCGGCCAGCCGCGCTCCTGACGTCGTTTTTTATATACATAAAGTGCGGCTGGACGTTTGATTTAAATTTTAGACTTCTCATCGTTTCACTCTCGAAACATGATTTTTCTTACCTTAATGTTTTATCCTTCTTTCAGATCATTTTACGAGTGAAAATTTCAGAAAAGGGGAAGGAATTGTGTCTGCAGTCAGTTAAATAATTTGAGATTTCCTGTGCAGAATTCGGTATATAGTCCTGAAAAGAGCAGAATGTATATGTACAGCATTCGTATTAAAACAAAAACAAGTTGCGACACTGAAAATAATTAGCCTGCGTACATACATACCCCGTGTGTGCATTACAGAGCGCTTCGTCGTCGCCTGTCCCCGAAGGCTTCTTGTGCACTTTTCTGTGCTTTGTTCACATCTCAAATCCTCCCTCTATCATTTTATTCCCTAATTGCAAACTTCTGAATCATGTTATATAACAGCCACTTTTCTTCTTACACGAAGCTCTAATTTTCCTCATCCGTTTTTTCCCTCTTTCAAGAGGAGGCTTTATTTAGATTTTTTAATCGTTAGTGTGTTTTCCTTTGTTTGTTTGGCACATTTTTTTAATTAAAAATGTTAATTTAACCTCCAGCTACAATGATTTGCATACTTCCGAACGGCTCCTATATGATCCTCCTGTTTAGTTTGCGGTCTCCCAGGATGAGAGCGGGATCCGCCGTGGCACTGACAGAATAAGGGGAAAGTACAGCGTCACTTTTCCGGGGGAAAGGCGCCATACCACAGCAGCACAAAGCGGGGTGGGGATTGTCGGGGCGCGAACTCATGAGTTCAGAGCATGGATCTTAGTGAATCCGGTGTTTGCTGCCGCCTTGCCGTCTTAAGCGCACCCCGGGCTGAATAGTTAGCGCGACGATGGTCAGTAAGAGCAGACAGGAACCGCTGATGAGCCATAGGACACGCAGGGAAACTCCAGCCCACGCCCTCACGTCACCGGCCACTGGCCGCAAGGCGACATCGTTGAAGCACCTGTATTATTTGCGGTAAATATATGAGTTGCGACCACATTCCTGAGAGTGCAGTTTCTGTAACATATGTGTATTCCCGCAAAAATGTATAAGCACCTGAATTTATTATCATTAAGCAGTAATTTTGATGAGAACATTACCCCCTTTGTGATGTTTTATGTTTATTGGCAATAAAAGATAAAATATAGTGTAAAGGAATGTAAAATAGTATTTTGTAAAGCAGGAGTGCGATTTATGCCGGGATCCATTGACAGATTAATCTGCAGGTCATAAAGTGGAGAGTAGCTGCCGTATTTTTTCTTTTATGTGGATGTACAACATGCTATTCTGTCACGGGGCTGCCCTGCGGGACGCGACCACGTCCTGCAAAAAAATCACCGTTTATCGCTGCGAAAAGTATCGGGGACTTTCACACATAGACTGTTTTTATCCAAGGAATGTGTATGTGCATGAGAAGAAAACCGATAAATTACCAGAAGGGATTTTTTACGATCAAATATACTACTACTTCTCAATCACAGATCAAAAGCATTACTTTCTCAGTTTAAAGAGAACAAATAACTAAAATTCAGCTTGACCTCGTAGGTAACCTGCCAAAACCTGGCCCATAAATACTAAATACAAATCACTATTATCACAGTACAATTAAAATTGTGATTACGCAACATATTAAACTTTGCATCAATATTAGCTGGATGCCAGTATGACAGACAGAAGCAGAGTGCTGAGAGTAACGACCCCACAGACAGTGCAGCTGCCAGTTTGGACCCTCGCACAACATGAAATGACCTTCCTTACAGCGTCACGCTGAGAGCTGGCTGCTGATTCCTGGCAGCGGCTGCAGCGGACCTGGTGTGACGACAGCGTGTCACACCCCAGGTGTCTCACCCAGTGAGCGTCTCAGACTCGCCTGCCAATCGCACTGCCAAACCGCTCGGGGTTGGGTGTAGGGTGTAGAGTTCCCTCCCTCCCCACCCAGAGTGGCATTGAGCCTGGGATGTGCGTCTCAGGACGAGCAGACAGCAGCAGCAGCGACAGACTGCCTCCTGCGGGCAGCGGCCCCGGGCCCCGGGCCCTCAGTGACGCTCAGGGAAGTGGCCATATTAAAATTTAAAGGCACAGCTGCTGAGATGCTGACAGCCCAACTCACAAGCCCACCCTGACCGTCCCCTTGTCGCGATACACGGCCCCACCCTGACGGTCCCCCCGCCCCGATACACGGCCCCACCCTGACCGTCCCCCCGCCCCGATACACGGCCCCACCCTGACCGTCCCCCCGCCCCGATACACGGCCCCACCCAGACAGTCCCTGACCGTCCCCCTGCCCCGATACGCGGCCCCACCCTGACCATCCCCTCGCTGCAATAGACGGCCCCACCCAGACAGTCCCTGACCGTCCCCCCGCCCTGATACACGGCCCCACCCTGACCATCCCCTCGCTGCAATAGACGGCCCCACCCAGACAGTCCCTGACCGTCCCCCTGCCCCGATACCTGGCCCCGCCCCCTGCCACTGCCCCGCCCCCAATCACCATCCTGCCCCTATACTCTGCCCCACCCCTGACCAGTATCTTGTCCCGAACATGACCATTATGAACACAGTGCGATGCATTTAATAAATAAGATGCGATTCTGCTCACTTGGGCATGCTGGCAGCACTGAAGGGTATCTCCTCTTAACTACTCTTGTTATCTGGCTTTTTGAGCCCAGCAAGCGAGTTTCCTGCCTTTGGTGCTGTCAAGGCCGCCTCGTTCGCTGAGTGGAGTGAGACGATATAGAGACGCATCCGCCCGGCCCCCACCCACCCACTTCCCCCCGCCTGCCTTTTGTAGTCACTCCACAGAAACTGACAAAAGGGGGGAAAAAAAGCATTAAAATCACTCAAACTTACGTTCTGTTCAACAGTAAAATCAGAAACTTTCTAAGATCAAGTTATTTTCTTAAATTTAAGGGAAAATTAAAAGCAGTACAATGTACAGAATGTATGGTCAACATGTCATTGTTACTTGAACTTGACACAGATGTACTTATTAATGGCATCCAATAATGGGGGTTGCCAAGGTCTTTTTTTGCAGGGAACAATATTTCAGAAAAAAGGTTTGTATTGAAATATTCTCTGCATTTTCACCAGCAGGTTCACTGCTCCGCTGAACCACATGGATGCTGTGGCTGCAGGTTCTAACCACGTATGTAACACGTATGAATGCAGTGGCCTGGGTGCCCCCCCCATCATGATGTACCCAGTACACTCAATGTCATGTGGAAATGTGAAAGGCAAGGCCACCCCCAAGGCCGGGAGGTGTGAAAAACACATGAAGGACTCTCCCCCCAACCCACCCCAGAGCCAAGCGGAATCTACCATGGCCTGCCCTACCCATCCCGCAGAGTCTTAGTCTTCATCTCGAGAAAACGAGATGAAGTCTTTGCTTTTACCAGGAATACTCCTCTGGTCAGAAGAAAACAGGAAGAGGAAAGACAGAGGGGGAGAGCAGGAAATGACTGCAGGTACATGGGGATCAGTACGGCAGCTCGACGGGGCCAAGGAGAACCCGGCAACACCAAGTGTCTCCTGGCGACAGCCAATCGGCTCCCCCGCCTCCTGGAGGAGTGCCCCGCCCACTGTGCACACCGGCTAATTGACAGTGTCTGGCAGCGTGCCGAGGGGGGGGGGACGTGGGCGGGACTCGTGGCGCGGAGCCAACGTGCTAATCGTGATTGGCTGTGAAGTGGCTGTAATCGCCTCTTTCAGGTGGGTGTTTGTACAAGCCGGCAGCGATAACCCCGTTTGTTTGTAACTTTCTGAGAACAGGTTAAGAGAAACATCATGGCAGGTAAACGCTGCGGCTCTCGCCATTAATCGCCAGCTTTCATGAAGAGCTCACTGAAAGAGAGAGACCTGAACATGCATCTTCAGCACGAGGCCTCCACGTTTTGGGTGGGGGGCGGGGGGGGATTGGAGGAGGATGAAAGATTGAGGTAGAACCTCAGAAGGCAAAATAGTTCAAGAAACAGACTTAGACCCAAAGACAGTAAATCCAAGTAACTGCATCCATCCATCCATCCATCCATCCATTATTCAACCACTTATCCAGGGAGGGGTCACGGGGGGAGCCTATCTCAGGCAGCACAGGAACAACACAGAAGGAAACAAACACACTCCACACACTGTGTGTGATTCGAACCCCCAAGCCCGGAGGTTTGAAGCTACAGCACCACCTACTGTACCTAAATTGTTCCGGCTTCATTTACATGAATAAAGTGTGATAGGTGGCACAGTACAGTGTTCAATACAGACTGGAATATAAACAAAACCATTAATAATAAGCATCCAGGAAATAAACAATTACGCATCATACATCTGATATAATCTTATAAAAATTCATGTTCACCTATCCAGTTGAACTTCTCCACATAGAATAGAGAACTTCTACTCAATCTCTCAACAAAACCTGCTACTTAGGGGTTTAATTAATCAGCTACATAAACATGAAAGAACATATAAATTCTGTGTTTTGTTCTTAGACCTTGAGCAAACGCATCCCAAAGCTCTGCAAGATGAGCATGCTAATTTTACATATTTGTCAATTTGCAGAAATGGTGTATTTCTGAGCCTTAAAGAATATAAGCAGAGGAGGGTGTCCTACGCACCCCGATGAGTTTTATTGTTTAATTTTGAACCCATGACCCGCTGGTGCAGACGTGTCATTTAAAGCATGTTTAATCCAGGACGGTCACGCCGCCTTAATCCCATTTTAGGCAACCCGCTTGTCACACTTCCTGTCCTGCCGTCTGCCCGTGATTCAAATCCAAGCCCCGTCACCTTCATGCAAGGGACCCAAATCAGGCAGCCAGGCAC